ATGGGGAGGATAATAGTTGGAATTATTCTGAGTATTAACTAACACAGACAAAACACTTCGAAGTTTGATAATTAGTATTTAGTATACACCAACTATAATAACTAAATGTACCAATTTATTTTTCTCACAGCAGTGTACCCATTTCTCTATGTTCTTGCCTACATTTGGTATTAACATTCTTTATAATCTTGTCTAATTGATGGCCCTTCCCCCAAAAGATGTCCCATTTTTTTTCTTGTGTTTGATTCCTAGTGATGTTGACAATATTTCCATACTTTATTAGTATTTTTATACTCAACTATTCTTTTTTTTTGTTATGTTAGTCATCATATAGTACATCATTACTTTTTGATGTAGTGTTCCATGATTCCTTGTTTGCATATTATACTCAACTATTTTTGAGTGTCATACCTTTTTTAAAAGATTTTTCTTTTAGTATGTTTTCTAATACTAAAATACTATTTAAAATTTACATTTACCTTTATTTTTCCCAGTATTTTCAAATTTCTGTTTTCCTTCTCTTTTTTCTTTCTTTCTTCCTTTTCTTCCTCCTTCATTTTTTTTTCTTTCTTGACTTCCTTCATTTCCTTTAGAGTTTAATTCTTTTAGGATTCATTTTGATGTCTTTTTTTAATCTTATATTGTTAGCCATTTAATATCAGTTACTGAATAATCCATCTATTTCACCAGTGATTAAAACGCATTTTTATCATGTGCAAATTTTTTCTAGACATCACATATTATTCTTTTGATTGATCTATTCTCTTTGCCCACACCATATTGTTTAAAACTCTAGTGTATGTCAAATACTATTTTTATTTTTCAAAATTTTCTGAGATACTGATACATATTTATTCTTACAGAAAAAATCTGAATTATTTTGCAAAATTTTTAACTTGCATTAGTATTAACTCAGAAGAAATGAACATATATTTCAATATTGAGCCTTTCCATTTATTCAAAGCCATGAAAAATATCATGTCTTCTTAAAGTTTTGTAAATCGTGAGAGCCTTGCTAATAGCTATAGCCGATTAACAAGTTCTGAAATATACATACCCTTTTAGATTATAGCAAGTTGGAAACTGATACAGCAAGTCACAAATTGGTTAATATCTGAATACTTTTTTTGAGAGAGAGAGAGAGCACACACGAAAGCTCAAGCAGGGGGAGGGACAGCAAGAGAGAGAGAATCTTAAGCAGACTCCATGCTGCTTGCAAAGCTGGACCTGGAGCTGGATCTCACAATGCTGAGACCATGACCTGAGCCAAAATCAAGAGTCAGATGCCTAACTGACTGAGCCACCCAGGCGCCCCATATGTGAATATCTTTATTGGTACTAGGTAGTTGTTATGCACTGAATGTTTGTCACCCTCCAAATTCATATGTGGAAGCCCTAAGTGTAATGTTGATTGGAGATGGGATTGGGGGGAGGTAAGTAGGGTTAGATGAGATTATGAAGATGGACTCCTCACAGATGGAATCAGCACTCCTATAAGAAGAGATGCCAGACGTCTCCACCACTCCTGTGGTGTGATGGCATAAAGAGGTCATGTGAGCATATGGTGAGCAGATGACTCTCTGTAATATTTTGCTGAAGCTTTGCAAGAGGAAAAATAAAGGTTTCTAAGTCACCTTATTCCTTCATTCAAAGTGAAAATGTTTTAGTTCCACAGATAAATTGCATAGTCCTGGAAATGTTGACTTCCCTATTTTATTGCATAGAAGAATGCCAATGAGAAAATTGTCATTGATGTTTAGTGACCACAAAGATAATGCCGGGGCATATCCGGAAGTAGTAGCATGGAGGCACCTTTCTAGTCATTCTTTATAGTTGGGAAACACTTTAGAATTTGCTAAATGCATTTGCATGCACAATTTTCTTTCATCCTCAAAATAAATTCAAATGAAGTGTCAGTCTCGTTTTATGGATAGTACAAACTGAGATTTAGAGAATTGAAATGTCTTTTGCAAGGTAGCATATAACTAGAGCTAGATTTAATTTATTCCACTGAATGAATTTTTTTTCTGAGAACTTACTGTGTGCAAACCATGGTCCCCAACCTATTTCTTTCCTCTGGCAGTAGGAATTCTCAGCAATTAGTGTAGCTTCTTGACTGCCTTATGCCATGCTGTACTTAGCTAAGTAGCTCTAGGTACCCCCAAAGATCCAGACCACCATTGAACTGTGAATCTGTTGGCAGATATGGGTGCTACTTCCCCTAAGGAACAAATTCTCTGTCAGTCTCTACTGGGTCCCTAATGAGTCAATGATTGAAAAGGGCTTCTCTCGACATCTGAGGTGTTTACTTGGAAAGCTCTTCTTCTGTTCTCCTCCCCTATTCTTCTCCTCCTCCCAATTATTCTGCTTTGTATACTGTAAGTGGGAGGTTTTACATTCGACCTTAGGTCCAAATGAGAAGTCAGGCAGGCAACATGAAACCCTCAGGTCTTGGTTTACTCATTTACTCTATCCTGAATCAAACCTTTCACTAGTGAGGTGAATCAACATCCCAAATTCAATATAAGATTTGTTGTTTGTTGAAGTAGACAGAAGGGAAAACATTGTTGCAACCATAGAAATTTAGAAAAGAACAGTGAAAATAATACTACATTTAACTGAAAAGCAGGTGAACTATTAAGTGAAGTTCTTTTCTGAAAAGACAAGTGACATTTAGTCCCAGCTTTGTATTAACTGTGTGTGGAGAAGATAAATCAGGATTGAGGTACGCCGTGATTGTTCTAGGAAAAGTGAATTTAAAAATTTTTGTTCTGGGGCGCCTGGGTGGCTCCGTGGGTTAAGCCTCTGCCTTCGGCTCAGGTCATGATCTCAGGGTCCTGGGATCAAGCCCTGCATCGGGCTCTCTGATCAGCACAGAGCCTGCTTCTGCACCGCCCCCCCGCCCCCCGCCATTCTCTCTGCCTACTTGTGATCTCTCTGTGTGTCAAATAAATAAATAAAATCTTGGGGAAAAAAAAAGATTCACTTAAATTTTTTTTGTTCTGAAAATTGTTTAAATTTATATAGCTTGTAAACTAAACAGAAAAGTATACAACACTGGGGAGCCTGGGTGGCTCAGTGGGTTGAATCCTCTGCCTTCGGCTCAGGTCATGATCCTAGGGTCCTGGAATTGAGCCACGCATTGGGCTCTCTGCTTGGTGGGGAGCCTGCTCCCTCCTCTCTCTCTGCCTGCTTCTCTGCCTACTTGTGATATCTGTCTGTCAAATAAATAGTAAAAAATTAAAAAAAAAACTCTAAAGAAAAGTATACAACATTAACAACTTAAAGTTTAAATTTAAACCTGCTGGCATCTTTTTCTTATTCTCTATAGAAGACTTGTCTAATTTTATCCCCTTTAGATTTATTATACCCCAGAAATGAAAAATGAATCAGGTCACATAGGAGAAAAACCGGTGGGTACTTTCAGCACTTTGGGCATATTCATGTTGTTTCAAATATTTTCCTTAGAACTCCACTGGAACCTCTGTGTTACAGTGGTACAGAATTACCAAGCCAGAAAGTCCAAGTGTTGTATTAGTAACAGTGTTCTCAGGAGAGATCTTGGGAACAGAGCTATCAACATAGATTCAGCAAATTCTCTGAACTTTTTCACCCTCAGGCCTCTATACTCAAGGGGGAAAAACAACAGCATTTTTTTAAATGGAGTATAGAAAAGAAGCAGTGTGGTGATAGAAACACAAGGACTAGGTGACAGGGAACTACTACTGCATTTTGCTTTTGGTTCTGAGATTTTAACCAAATTATTTTCTCAGGTTTCAATTTCCTCATCTATAAAAGCAGAAGTAATAATTCCTATGTCATAGAATATCTGGAATGATTAAATAAAAATATTTGATATCAAAACGGTATGGAGTAGAGAAACAAAGAGAAAAGAATTATTGAAGGCTCAACACAGGCCAGGTGCTCTAGCTACGGCTAGGGCTCTTCAGAGAGATTAAGAGCCATGATTCAGGTCCACAGTTCAACCACGCTAAAACTTTAAATTAAATCATTAATTTAAATGCTTTTGATTAACTTAAGTAATCTATATGATGATCTACAAGAAATGTTCTTAATTGAATATTTTTTAAGTCTTGCTATTACTAAACCTCAAAAGCTGAAAAAATCAACAATGGAAAATAAAAATACTTTCTATAAATATTTCCTTCCAAATGTGTCATTTTTTTGCAGACTAATAATTCACAATAAAAATAATCCATATAACATTTTACACTTTTTCAAAATACTTTTCAAAGTGTACCCTAAATTATATGTAATACATTAAATAAGTATGGCATTTAAAATTTCACAACAGAAAAGTCTGACACGTTATATTTTTCTACTTTTAAAGGTGACTTTATGGACAGAGAGTAAATAATTTCACACAATATTTTAAAATACTCTGTAGACAAAACTTCCTCAGACAGAAATTTAATTCAATATGTTAGCCATTGAATTTGAAAGAAAAAAATATTAAATATATCAAAATATGCTGAAAAGACAGTTTTCCCTGAAAATAAAATTCAGTAAAATCAAGAAAATAAAATGATAGATTAAAAGTTTCATCTATTAAAATTAGAAAACTAAGAACCACATAAAACACTTCCTTTTCTAGTAACTTCATATATGTCTTCATATATACTTTTTAAGACTAATCTTATTAAAATATAAATATTATAAGAGTTCACAAATCTTTCAGTAATAGATTATTCTACTAAACACACACATAAACAAACAAATATTTAGGAAGAATCCAAATCATTTGGTTATAGATGACAAAAAGCATCTGATAAGGTCATCGTCTTTCATTTGACCTTCTACAGAAGTAACTGGAAAGTAGCGAGACATATATTTTTAATCACTTTGGTGTATAATTGGGTCAGATTTTATTTTCAGTACTTTTTCATAATTTCTTCTTAGCAAGATAAGCTAGTTACAAGAAAAATAATTTAAAATTAGTATTTGATATGAGGCTAGAATATATGTCATTATAAAAATAAATATCTAAGTAATAGATATTTTATTTCTAAGACGAGGTAGATAAATTAAAATATTCTAGAACATGATCTGCACTTAAAGAAAATAGCAATCACCAATTCAACCTGTATGAATCAAATAGCTGAAGAGTTTTTTATTTTTGACATTTATATCAGGTATTTCAAGTACAAGGCCTCTGAAATACATTTTATACTCCCCAAACCTTGCTAAATTGAAATTCATATTTTTCATTGACTTACTCATTATTTAATCTACCTAGGGAACTTTGCTATTCAGGTCAAAGACATATGCAATTAAACCAAAGTTTTCTTTTTCTTTTTTTTTAATGTTTAAGTGGTATTTTCCCTTTATATACCTCGTAGAGTAAAATACATCAGGAAAAACTATTACTCTTCAGATATTGTACCACAAATAATTATTTAGATGATGAGTTAATAAAAATTTCAAGGTCTGCTAAAGAATTATGAAGCTCATCATTTATATCTTGACTTCTAAGAAAATTTTTAAGAGTATCTAAAGCAGTTAATGCCTCATTTTTTGATGGCAAAGGGAGTTCACTTCCTAGAGAACCACCATCATCCTCTTCATCAGAAGTATAAAATCCAGTTTCCTCTGATTGACTTTCTTCAGTCCATACCGAATCAGTTTCTGGTGCAGCTTCACATGTCTCCAAATCATCATCCAGGGCAGCATACTCTTCTATAGATAAACCTTCAGGAAATTCCACGCCTGCTGCCTGAGCATGGGCAACCAAATCAAGACCAGCGTCTGTCTCTGCATTGGTCTTGTCACTTTCTCCCTTTTGAGATTTGAATCCTGCCTCTTCATAGCTCTTAACAATAGTCTCTGGGGTTACAGCCCTCCAACAAAGGTGCAAAGTATCAACAGCATCTAGTAGGGAAAATGTAAATTCTTTGCTGCCTTCAACAGAGCTTAAAAATTTCTTGATAAGACAATGTCGATATTTTATTTTAAGGCTTTTAATAACACCTTGTTTCATTGCTATAAATTTGGAAGATAAACATGATGGAAAGAATGCTAACTCAATGGACTTTAGGTTCTTTACCTCTGGATGTGAAGGAAAAGAATCAACAAAAATCACCACTCTTCGTTGCTGGGCTTGAAATTTCTCATCAAGCTTCCGCATCCATTGTTCAAATAAGTCTGAGGTCATCCATGCCATTTTGTTAGCTTCATAACACACAGGCAATGATTTTATACCTTTGAAACAATGTGGATTTCTGTTTTTTCCAATGATAAGCAAAGGAAGTTTCTCTGAGCCATCCATGTTTGTCCCAACCACCAGAGTTATTCTGTCTTTGCATAACTTTCCGACGGAGCATGTCTCTCCTTTAAATGCAAATGTATTTGTAGGCAACATTCGATAAAGCAGCCCAGTCTCTTTTATATTGAAAACATTTTTAGGATGATAATCATTTAAATAATAAGGAAGTACATTTTGATGCCAGACAGCTGAAGGGTCTACTGATACACCCGTAGCTTCTACAGGTTGAGCTCTGAATACTAAACCATACCTAGATTTAAAGCGATCCAGCCATCCATTACTGCACTTAAAATCATTATGTCCCAGTTTCTGGGCAAAATCATTAGCTTTTAGACGCAACATTGGACCATTAACTGGTACATTTAGACACTGAGCAATTCGATACCACCTCATTAATGCCTCTTCCAGATCTGTGTAAAAAGCAGTTCTCAGTCTTTTTCTCTTTGGATCAAATCTCAGAGATTCAAAGGCTTCTAGAACTTTGTCTTTATTCTTCATAATAGAAGACAATGAATTTTTCTTTATTCCATATTCAGCTGCAATTTCTGCCTTTTTCTTGCCACTTTCTACTGCATTTATGATGTCGATCTTTTCTTCAATGGATAAACTTTTCTTTTTCTTCACTGTCACGGGCAGGGCTGAAGCATCCTCCGAAGCTTCTGCCATCTCCACCAGTGCTTATGCAGAGATCCTTCGTCTTGCTGGTGGCTGTTTCTTTAAATTTCTAAAAATCAGTAAGTAAATGTATTTTCAAAGGTCCTGAATAAGAAAAACGTTACACACAGCTGGAGTATTTTAAAAGAGAAACTTCCTTCCCAGGACCTGTGCGGCTCAGTTTATAGTTTATTCAGTGCTCCAGAAGTCAAGCTAAAATAGAAATCTCATTATGTCAAACCTGTCCAGTCCTGCTGATATATTTTTGGAACTTCAATCCTTTAAGATGATCCATTTTATCCAAGCGCGCATTCAACCTCCTATTAATTCTCCGCAGAAGGCCTCCGAGATAAGAAGCAAACGCATTCAGTAATTTTCATGCAAACTGTTACCCATTAATTTCCAAGTCTCTTCAGGGTGGAGAAGAAAGTGGTAGAATCCTTCTAGGACTGGAGGGTATATCTTCTGCCTCTTGAAAATAGAAAAAAAAAAAAAAGAAAGAAAAGAAGAAAAGAGAAAGCTATTTTAGGAACGATGTGCCAATTGAATATCAAAAAAATATTTATACTAACTAGTTATGCTTTTAATAATGAAAAGAATCAGAACATGTTTCTGCAAATCTAATAACCAAAGCTTTCATGAGAAATGCTTACCTCCTAAAGGGCCTCTGTAAAAAGCCCTCTAGCTCTGCTCTGTGCTTTTGAATTCTCGCTTGCTTTCAAGTGCTTTGTAATATATACTTCTGAAATAATTTAGGCAAATCTAATCTGTTTTAAAAATGGGTGCTTACCAAAATTAAAGAACTAAAAATGATGCTGGATAGATCTTTGGTGGCTATTTTTCACATGAAGTCACAACTGCCCCCTCTGACTTCTCTAAAAGAAAAACACAGACAGTAGTCACAAGGTTCAACTTTTAATAGCACATGGGAGAGAGCATCCCCTTTATAGGAGTCGGGTAGAAAAGCTTTCACTAAAAATCCAATCAAGTGATTCCATTACAAATTTTAAAAATCTAACTATTGTTTCATCTAAACGCTTACAAACCTCGTAACTTTGAACCAGCTTGACACATTAGCCAGATGCACAGAGGCCAGAAAAAATCAACAACATGTAGAGGAACAAGCAAATGATTAAGAGGCTATAATGCAGAAAAAGACCCAGACCGGAGTAAGAAGGAAAGTGACCACGGATCTTAACATCTCAGGACCTCTCCTTCCCTATCTGTAAAATAAAGGGCTTATTATACTGGAAGGGTATGGGCTTTGGTGTCAGACACACCTGAGTTGACAAGTGATTCTGCCATCTAAACTTACGTGATCCTGGGTGGTTTACTTAACCATATGAGGCTTCAGCTTCCTTATTTGTAAAACAGGTGTAACTACAGTCCCTACTTCACAGGGTTATCGCACACTCAAGGAGATTCAACAAGCGAGTGGAAAGTACTCAGCACAGCACTTGGCCCCTTACAAAGTGTTCAATGAATGTTTGGTGATGATACCGTCATTACTCTCTCTCTAATGCCCCCTTGGCTGTGCTGATCCTTTTAATTCAAAGATTTTTCAAAATCCTACTTGCAAACAGAAGCAAGAATCCAACTGAAATATATACTGAAAGCAGGGATTCTCATAAATCAAACAGTACTGTGAGAACAGTCACAGTCATGGACCTAGATAGGCTTGCCCCTACCTTCCCAGGTGGCACCTACCCTACAAGAGTCTACAGGCTCGGGGCCTACCGCAGGCCAAAGTAACAAGCTAATTTGATGAGCAGGTGTTACTACTGTGTGAAATAGTGTGAGCACAATGTCCCTCAGGTTTTTTTGCTCTGTGCTGCCAGGTTTCAAGATGTCATGTGCATTTTTTGCACAAAATTTTTGGACAAGACTTTTTGTCAAAATTCCTCTGCCTTTGTTGTCTAAAAAAAGTAATTTTTATCATAGGAATTACAACTGGTAAAGGAGTTTCCTGCTGTTACTGTAAAAAAGTGCTAATAATAATTACGATAGCCCAGGGCTTTAGTTTCTAAACACCTTTATTTCCTGTATTCCAAACAACTCAGGAGGACGATAAAACTGAATTTCAAAGCTCATATAGTTAGAATGTGGTTGAGTGGAGCCCAGAATCCAGGCTTTGTAAACTCTACCATTCTTTTCACTGTATTGGAGTATCTCTGAATCACACTGGTGTGGCCTCCTCTGATAATAGTTACACACTCTATGTCCCCAGCACCAAGTCAAACCGAGGCAGCATTTCAACGCCTATCTGAACCTAACGAAACAAAACCAAACAACAACAACGACAACAACAAAACCCAAAACAAAACAGAAACAATATCAAGCCTCTACAAAAGAATGGAAGAATAGGCCTTTACGAATTCTGTGAACATAAATAGCAACCGTATCCAAATGCTAAGTGGGCTGACCTTTCTAAATAAATAAGCTTTGATCATTCAACTAAAAAATAAACAAAACCCCCCTTTCTCATGTATGGGACCTCTCTGCACATTTTTCTGTAATTTTCTATAAGTCTACAATTTCTTCAAATAAACATTTTAAAATATCTCACTCTTATTAGGAAGATACCAACCTTCAGAAATTGAGGTAGCAAGAACAAATTTTTTAAGAGAAAACCATGCAAAACTATGCTCTAAGGGAAAAAGGGACTCTCCCAACTTCTCTCTTCCTTTTGTCTTCTGTTCTTTCCCTTCTTCTTTTCTTCCTTCCTTCTTTTTTCCTTCTGCTTTATTTCATCATTTCTCAGAATTAACCCTATCACCTCAAATAACGAGGATAACAGAAAAAGTCACTTGAATTTCCTCCCATATCCCCTCCCAAATAAAGCAATATAATATACACAGAGATTAGTGATTATCTTGATCAAACTGAAAATAATGATATGTTTATTTAGGAAGATATTAGTTGTTTTCTGAGAGTTAACAGCATATATTTCCTTCCAAAACAGTAATGAAACCTACAATTTCCCATGGTAATATAAAATACGTCTTTATTCCCAAAACAACACATGCCTAATGAAAAACCAGACAAGCCAGACTTTTTCCCTAAAAAAGAACAAGGCATCAATACTGTTTAATCAATGAAGCTAACATTTTCCATGCTCCCACTGTATAATGTCTGGGATATTTCTTGCAGGGAGTAATGGCAGGAGGTGATATTTCTCAGAAGTACCCATTCTCTCAATTAAGATCATTAATCATTCTACTCCTTGAAAATGTTACAACAGAGAAACACTGGACTACACGTTAGATGCTATTTTCTCTATGTCAATGGTAAAGCCAACTAAAGAATAAGAAAAGGCAAGTCACTAAAAAAGACCTACCAAGTGAACACCAAGAAAACAATAGTCAATTCTACTGGTAACAAGAGAAATGTAAATCTTCTTTCAAAACAGGAGATACTTTTTCATTATTTTTGTTTTGTTTTGTTTTTGCCTATCAGAATGGCAGTATCTAGCATTTGCCAGAATGTCATAACATAGTTTGTGAGGAGGTATATAAATTGGTACAAAGCTTATGAAGGGCAAATTGGTAATATGATACAAAAACCTTAACAATATAGGTAACTTTCACTGAACAAGTTCAGACCTAGGATTTTATCCCCAACAAATAATTATAAAAAGAACCTGGCTTACACATGTATTCACGATCTATCACTGCATTTAGTAGCTTAAAACAATACCCATTTATTATCTCACAGTTCTGCAGGCCAGAAGTCCAGGTGAGCTCAACCGGATCCTCTGCTTAGGATCTCGCCAGGCAGAAATCGAGATGTTAGTCAAATGGGACTCTTAGCTGGAGGCTCTGGGGAAGAATCTGCTTGCAAGTTCATTCAGGTTATTTGCAGAATTCAGCTTCTTGTGGCTGGAGAACTGAGGTCCCTGAGTTTTTTGCTGGCCTTCAGCAGAGACTGCTCTCAGCTTCTGGTTCGGGTCCTTGACTCTGGCCCTTTGCATTTCGGCAATAGAGAACTTTCCTCCTGTCAAATCTCTCTTATGTTTTGAATCTCTCTGCCTTCATTGCTGCAACCACAGCAGAAGAAAACTTCCTGCTTTTTTAAAAGGCTCCCATATCAGTTTAGGCCCATCCCGATCATCTCCCTTTTGATTAATTTAAAGTCAATTGATTAGACCTGCAAAAATCCCTTGTGCATGTAATATAACATGATGAGAATGATGTCCTATCATGTTCATATGGGAGGGAATTATACAAAGTGAGAATCATTCGAAGTCATCTTAGAATTTTACCATACAACAATATTCCTCACATTGTTGTTTTATAATTACAGACCAAACAGGAAAGAACTGAAATGTATAAAAAGGACTAAGTAAATAAATTAATATATAAGTTAAAATATTACTGAGCCACTGAAGGAGAATATTTAATGATATGAAGGAAATTCCATAATATTTTAAGTGAAAAAAGCAAAATGTGAAACTGTATGCCAACAAAACTAGCGTATACTATAAGTTACATGAGTGTAGAGGCTCATGGCTATTCCTACAGTGCTTTGTGTAGAGCAGACAGTCGGTTCTAAGTAACAATTTCTTAAATAAATGTAGAAAAAATATAAATGCATAGAAAAAAAAACCTGATAAAATGTTGAATATTAATTCTAGATAATGGAATTATGAAATACTTCAGGTTTTTTTCTCTTTGTAGTTAAAGTAATTTCTACTCTTATGCTCCACTCAGACTACTATTCACAGGCTTCTTTAGACATTCCATTTATCGCTATCCTCTAATCCTCTGTTTCCAGAGAATTACACCGTGCAATCATTAATTAAATATGTCTCCATGAAAAGGGACCTGATGATAGAGAGTGATAAAATTATTGTGACATTACCAGAATTCCCCTAGAAAAGATCTGAAGGTAGCACCTTTTTTTTCTCTTGAGGAAATAATATTTATATGCAGCATACAGTATTCAACATTTAAAGTGAAGAAAAAAGGTTGTGTGCACATTTAATTCATTCAGAAAGGAATAATATGCTCTAACCTGTTGCCCCCCCTTCACTTGTGGTCAATAAATGAAATACAGGCTTCCTACAAGCCAAGTGAATAAATGGCATCTGATTTTTCAAAAGCTGAATAATAGCCAATAACAGTACAAAGGTAAATTAGTAGATAATCCCCATGTCATAAACATACAGAGCAGACAACTATTACCTTTTTCCTTACCTCTCCAAACATAGATGCCAATTTAGAGAAAAGAAGTAATCTTCTATTCTTCCTAAAGAGAATGAGCAGGAGAATTCACAAATCTCTAGGTCAAAGAAAAAAAGAGAGAGGGGAAAGAAAGAAAGAAAGAAAGATCTCCATCTAAGTAGGGTTAGATTTAAAATAAGGTCTTTCTGTCAGCATCAAAAATTTCCTCCAAATTAAAAAAAAAAAAATACCAGCTACTGTTTCCTTTTTCCAAAATAAATTACGTAGAATTTCACAGTCTTCCATCACCAGCTGAAGTAGCTTTCAGTGTTTTCTTTGAGACAACTTACATTCTAATTTCCCCTGGGGCAGCAGAAATCATGGGAAGGCTAATCCTGTGTAGAGCCTTGCACTATGTAGGAAGAGCAATCACGTGCAGTACCGGAATCACACTGGACTGGAGTACCTAACATGATTAACGGTGCCTTCGCCAAACAGAAATTAGCATGAGTTCCAAACAGTTTGGAATCCATCTGAATCTCTATCAAAAACATCGGCACCTGCCAAGGAAACTATCCAGCTAAGGACAAATAATGAAAGCAAGTGTCCACCTTTTCAATTTAAGAAACACCTCTGAGTCTAACAATTTAATAGTTAGACTAACTCTAATGAAGCTAAGCATTCCCAAACTCAAAAGACGCTTGGCAGGAATCCTTAAGGTGCCAGCCAACTCAAACAGTTAAGTACAGATCATTCAGGCACCACTGAGCACTGCCATGCTCCTCTTCCTAATTACCCTTCTGAAACTAAGAATACTTGTACTTAGCTATTAAATTCCATTCTGTTCCTATGCAGTAAGAGCAGTAATTATTCTAGATTGGGATCCTTTTCTTGTAATTGAGAAGACTAACAGGATGGCTTTGAACAGAAAAGTCCACAGGAGGCTATAGAACTGAAGTTACAGTTTGAATGATATACATTTACAGTTTGAGTGATATACATTTGCTCTTCTCTTTTTGTTAAGGACAGAGACACTTAAGATGAGGGTCCTTTGTACACAGATTCATGTTTTGAGACTTCAATACTGTTTTTGACAGAGGAAGTCTGCTGGAAATCTCAGCCGATAAATAATGTTATTTACTTTTGAAACATTTGTGTCGGCACGGGTATTTCCTATTCACGGATATGGGGAAGATATTTGCACAGGGATATATGATTCACTATTCTGAAACTTCCTAGAATTTGTAAAGGCAAAGGTCTGTCTTTGGGCACTGAGCCTTTAAAAATGTCTCATCAGCTAATACGACAAAAGCAGGTGAGAAGTACAGTCTAAAGAAGAGTAAATCCCACGGAATGCACTGTTATCCTTCGCATTTCTACGAGTGAAAAACGAGCATGCAAGGCTTTCAAAGGAAAAACAGCTCAGAACCTTGATGAGAGATGTGGATGGACAACTGTAGGTGTTCTATGCAAATGAGCTTGAGGTATGCCTATTACCACTGCGCAGCCATACATTCCCTCCATTCAGCGCCGGGAGTAAGGAGACTATCCACAGCACAGGCTGGGTCTCAACTTAGTGAACTACAAAGGGCTCAGAGAGAAAGGATTGCTCGGCGGTTTCTGTAGACAGGGCAGTGATCTACCTAAGAAGGAATAGGGCGAGCAAATAAAGCAGAACTCAGTCATCTGGATAAAGAAACAGGAGCAGGAAAGAAAAGTATAAGGGGTCCATCGTCGGCGAGCGAGCAGGGCAGAGTGATTACAAAGACAGCAAGTCAAGAAGTCAGGGATGCCAGGCTTGGAGGTCTGGTCTTCCTGAAGGGGGTGGGCGTGAGTGACGTGGCCGGAGTGGGGCGCTCCAGACACCGGGGAAGAGAGGGTGAGGCGCCCGCATCGCGTCTGTTCCTTAATCCCGCATTCCCGCCACCCTCCACTCCCCGCGGGGCTGAAACAGCCTTCTACG